GGATTCTTCTCCAGACAAAATGTGTTGGCAATTATAATGCTGAGTTTAAAGTCTAATGTACGAAGAAGCCGCATTTTGGACAGGAAGGAAAAAATTGTATATTGTCATAACTGTGGCTATGTATTTATTTTCTAAATAAGTCTGTATTTTGCAATTTATTAAGTTTGATGACCTGGGCTGATAGCATTCAGGAATTGTTAGACAAGGTGGAGGTCGGTTATTAAGTGAGAGCATATTGCTATCCTCCCTAAGAAGCCATCCTTGCTTGTGGATTTCTTTATGTGCCTCCTCCTTTTCTGCTGGCTCCCTTGCAGGCCAGAATCTTCTACCCGGTTATTATGTACACCCGGCTTCCTCTCATGGCTTGGCATCATTGGGATAGTATGCATCACTGGTAATGACACTGTCTTGTCTGCGGGTCAGGAGGGCTCTGGAGAGCCAGCCATCCAGTGCGCCACGCTACATTTGAAGAGATAATATTGTTCCTGGTGAAGGTTATTCGGCTGCCAAGCAGTCCTGGTTTTAAAAACAGAACAGCTCCTCCCAGATGACAGGGCTTAACAACAGCAGAATGGCAAGCAGCCTGGTCCTTCCTCCAGACAGAGGAGAAGGCTTGGTGTGTGAAGGGGCAGGAAGATAGCCTAAACGGTAGGGTGCGTGACCGACAGGTTTAAGCTGAAGTGTGCAGGAGGTAGCACAAGCTTGGAATTTGCTGGTGTATGTGAGTACAAGTTTGTCAGCTTGAGAAGATTGTTAGAAGATGCCATTTTCAAAGGCTCATCATGTGTAACCATGATGCTGTGATGTGTGTGCATGGAATTCAGGGAAAAGCAGGTACAGTCAATAAGGAGATGTCCTCTATTAGAGTCCAAGGCAATATGAAACTCTTGGTCTCAGTTGTCTTCGAATCTGGGTCAAATCCCAGCTTCTGAGCAGAGGGTGGGACCCGGGTAAACAGGAACACATTGCTTCTCAGTGTTGCAAGGTGAAGCCTTCTCAGACTGAATGATGAAGGCAGTCATATCTTGAAAACACAGTATTGTATGAGTCTCCCAGCTCAGATCCAGCCTATTGCTGACTGGATCCTAGATACCAATGTTCTATAGGCAGAGCCTCACGTGTGTGTGTAATGGCTGTGTTTCTCTCTCTCTCTCTCTCTCTGCATAACTTCTTTAAATGGAAAAGTTCACAGCTCTAGGCAATGCCTTTGATATATTCCAGATTGCTAGGGTCTAGATCGCTGCGGAGAGGCATTCTTGAACAGTTGAAAACATGTAAATGATTAGACATGAACTGTCTTTACGTTAGAGTAGCACAGACACAACAGATCCAGAGGATGCTAATGCATGAAGCATGGGGATAGTGGTTGGTCATATGTACTTCCTCTTCTCCCATGTTTCCACACACATGTTCACAGACACCGCCCATATGTAAACATATACATTTACCACAATATCATTCTTACACTCTATATATACATGACAAACACAGTCATGCTACCTATATGCAGGTAAACATGAATACCACTCACACCATGGACATATGTATCAAACATGAATGTATAAAAACAGCTTTCTAAATGAACTAACAGCATTTAGAGAGGAAGAGAGGTTTGAGCAGGTGGGTAAAGTACTTGCTATACAAACAGGAGGACCTGCATTTTGGTCTCCACCACCCATATTAAAGTCAGGAGCTGCCATGGGTGTCTGTAACCCCAACACTGGGGTATAGACAAAGGCAGATTCCAGAGGCTGCTTGACAGTCTGATAGAGACATGAGTTTCAGGTTCAGTGAAGAGACACTATCTCAAAATGCACAAAACAAAACCAAACACAGTGAAGGGAGAAAGATAGAGGAAAACATCCAGTATGCTTGTCTGGCTTCCACGTACATATGCATTCAGTCACATGCTCTTATACGTACACACATACCCCCCACATACCTAACCACACACAATCACAAATACACAAATTAATCAAAAAATGAGGCTCCCCAAGCACTTCAAAAGCATTTTAATGTATAATACACAATTAAAAGTTATTTTTATCCATACATTTCTTTCCATTAGCCAGTAAACTTGAATTACAAGTATCATCCATCCTTAATTGAGCATTCCTTGTGTTCTATATTCCTACCTTGCCTCAACCCTATGACTTTCTGAGATGGTAACTCCCCACTCCCAGTTGTAAGCTCACAAGTCCAAGAGTAAGCATGCCTTCAGAATTCCTAGACCCTAAATAGGTTCCTACTTTCTTAACTGGTCAGGGGCAGCAGCAGCCGCATCTGTGACTGCTATGGCTGCGACTGCTGCTGGTGGTGCTGTTGGTGGTGGTGTGTGTGTGACTTCCTCAGCGTCCCCTGGACAGAGCAGTGGCGTTACAAAGGTCTTGAGGTTTTTAAGATCTTGAGCCTTTAGGTACTATAGAAAAGTGGCTCCTGAATTTTTGTAAGTTAGAACGCGTTTGCTTCTCTCTCTCCAGAAGTTCCCTAGGTAACTCGCTGTTTTCTTCTCCTGACTCAGCTGGCTTCCCAGCAGCTCCAGGTGGAGAGAGCTGCAAACAGAATTCAGATTCCTCTCATGTCAGAATCAATTTGGCACAGACAATATGCCTTTTAACTCCTCTTTTTCCAAGATTTCTGAGGTAGTCATCCATAATTTGACTGATCTGGGAATTTTTTAAAATTTGGATCACCAAGAGGATACGCACAACGATATGTCAAAGTTTTGCTTCAAACCACAAGCCTTACTAAGAGGGGAGCCCAGAAATTCTGGGTCAAGAACCCCTGTCTAAACCCAGCCAGTTTCTTCCCCTATCCCTCACCCTCTGTCCTCTTCTCTAGAAATAAAAAAGATCTGAGTAGAAAGTTGTGGCCATCTGGCAAGGTTCCGACCTTTGAGCTCTCTCAACTTTGCTTTTGGGCAGTGAGGTAGGGAGGTATGATGGCTACTATTCATTGCTAACCTGACAGGATCTATACATGATCCCCTAGGATAAAGACTTTGGCCACATGTGTGAGGGAGTTTCTAGTCTTAACGAAGGTGGGAAGCCCTCCCTAGATTGGTGGCATCTTCCCATGGGCTGAGGTCCTGACGTGAGAAGAAAAAAGAAAGTTGAACACTTGCATTCATTTCTTTCCGCTTCCCAATGGAGGGCACAATGTGACCAGCCAGACCATGCTCTGCAGCTACGACTTCACCACCATGATACCCTTGGATCATGAGTGAAAATAAACCCTCTCTGTCTTAAGTCACGTTTGCTGGCATTTAGCAGTGGGGAAAGTGACTAATTAAAGGAAGAAACGGTCATTTCTAATAGCATTAACAATAGTCTAGAGAGAGGGTGCCCACAATGATGTGCTGTGATTCTTAGAGGCTGATGGTAACACAGACACCATTCCCATGGAAATCTCTGTCAGTGGTTTTGCTTGACTCAACCACCAATAGCTCCTTGCTTCCTTCACATCCCACGACAAGCACATTCTTAACTCATTTTAGTTGTAAAAGAAGCCCATCTGTTAGGTGATGTTAAGGCACAGAGCGGTGTTCCTGTGGGATGTTTGGACTCCTTTTTAAATGCCTGACAATACGCCACAGGTAAGAGAAGAGCACAGGGCAAGCCAAACACTCCCAGAATTCTCCCCTCCTCTCCTTTCCCCTCCCCTCCGCTCTCCACCTCACCTTCCTCTCCCCAGAATTCTCTCCTCCCCTCCCCTCTCCTTTCCTCTCCTCTCCAATCTTTCACTTTTACTTCTTCTCCTCTCTCCTCCTTCCCTCTCTTTCCTCTCTTTCTTTGTTTTTATTCTGAACTCTCCTTATTGATCTAAGCAGAAGAGATGGATATGACCCCTTCCCTAAACCAACTCTAATATCAGACAGCTAATTCTGCTGCTGCTGCATCTTCTCTAACTTCATGCACTTGAAATGTTTCAATATTTATCGTTTTTCTTGTTAAAGAACTGTAAAGTCCATTCTCTGAGACACTATGATATTGCAATCATTCATTTTTTTATGCAGTTAGGAGAATGAAGAAAAGGGAAAAAGAGGATTGCCCAAGAAAACTAGTTCATTTCCCACACTGTCTGGGGCTCTTGGTCACACATTACTGATATTTTCTTATCTTTAAGATGACGATGAGACTCCAGGTAAGGACAGAATTCCAAATGAGGTCAGGATGTTAGATATGACTGGGGCTTTAGGTAAGGGTAGATTTCCTGGTGTTGGTAACTAGGTAGGTGAGATATGAAGGTCTGGACAGAAATGAGGCGCACACATACCAACTGTGGATGAGAATGGGGTAGCTGGTAAAGATGGAACTGCAAGGAGAGATGGGGTTTGAGTTTGAGGGTAGAACTGCAAGTGAGAGTGGGAATCCAAATGAGTACAGAACTTGCGGTGCAGATTCAGCTACAGGGATGAGGGACTGCAAGGGAAGATGGTATTCCAGGGGAACACGGTGACTCTGGGTGAGGATAGGACTCTGCGTGAGTTTGATCCTGAAGATGAAGATGGATGCAGATTAGGGAGGATCCTAGGTATAGGTGGCACTGCCATGAAGAAGGCATAAATTTGTTCCTATAGGCGGGGTGACCCGACGGTCAGGGTGGAATGCAGGTAATGCTGGTACTGTGTTAACGATGGGATTACATGTGGGCACACAGCTGTGGGTGAGGATAAATATTTGTGTGAGTTTGGTCTTGAAGGTGAAGATGGATTTCAGATGAGGACTAGACTCTGTGTAAGGACTCCACATTTCAGGTGATGATGGTTTTCTAGTAATGATGAGAATATGGAGAGTGTGGGGCTAAAGGTGAGCATGGAACTATGGGTAAGGATGTAACTGTAGAAGAAGATGGATCTGCTGAAGTTGGGAGCAGGGTCTCCTCTACTGGGTAAGATCAGCCAGTCCCCTTTCTATGACTACAAGGCAATAGAGAAAGACAATCCCACCCCCATACGCATTGAGTGAGGACCTCTCCACAAGAGAAGTGGGGTTGCTTACTTAGATTGTCTTCATCCTCCGTGTTTGTGGTGCCAGGACTTAGGTACTTGAAGGGAGCGAGGAAGGTTGACAATATGCTTACTTTGTCTGGAAAGAGAAAGAAGAGGAAAATACACTTTTGATATCGAGTTTCAGGAAAACTCAATGCTTTTATATGTTCTGATTACCAAAAGATTGGACGAGGGAGGAGGGAAGATCATCATGGCTGCAGACTTGTCATTCTGCCTCCATCAGTGCAGGGAACTCTCAGGATCCCCACTCTCCTTGTGTCTGTTTTTGTTATGAATCTGGACCACAGACGAAAGGACTACCATCACTTATTTGTTGTGATACAGCATTAGAGCCATTTCTGATCTTTTCTTAAGCTGCTTGGGGCACTGGCCATGAAGGACTTGGCTGCTGTGCTGTGCAGGGGTCTTTTCTTCTCCTCTGCAGTCTCTCCTACTCGAGGGCAGGATGTTTCAGTGGGGGGTCACTGTGTTCTACACTGCCTCTTGTCTCTTTCTGTTATTACAGAGGTGGCCTGCCTCTACCCGTATTCCCATTTGCACTTGTACCTTGATCTGAGGGCAGATACCCATGAAATGCTCACTGGTGGCTTTAACTGCCCTTAGCCTCCAGGCGACCAGACTCAGGATGGAGCGTGCTCTTTTCTTCCGAGGCTGAGCCTATTTTCCTTTTAGCCAAGCTTTCCAGAGGCCAGGGGAGACCACATTGAAATTCGTCTCAGAGCCTGTTAACAGCTGTTGTTTCCAGTAGAGACAGGCACCAATATAGTGTTCACACAAAGAGAACAATAAATAACTCTAATATGAAGTGCCTGCTCCTCCTTCATTCTACCAAACGCGAAGGATCAACACAACAAAGGCATTGCTCCCCCCGAGTTCTCATCGTCTGAGCTCATTTACTCCAACAGAATGAAATACCTTGCTTGAGTTATAATTTCATTAAGTGAGTCCAATAACGTTGCACAAAGACTGTGAAGCTCAAATGATTTTGTCTGGAGGATCTTGAAATGAAATTATAATTTTTTTTAATAAAGCAGGAACACCAGCAAAAACCCCCACAATATATACCAAACTATTTCACAGCAAAGCTGTGAAATGTATCAAGACTGTTTTAGAGCCATCCAAGTCTTCACTTTTTTGTCACTGCTGTTTTTTTCCATGTCTATCAAACAAAAAGAGTGCCATCCAGTTAAAACCAAATTTCAGACGAACAATGTTTTTCAGAGTACATATACTCTCCGTATTGCATGATGTGAGTATAAACCAGGACAAGTACTTATTGTTTATCTGAAGTTCATGTTTAAGGCAAAGGGTGTGGATTGACATTTCTCTAAGGAAGATATTCTACTGGCTAATGAACACTTAACGATTACTATCAGCAGTTATTAAGGACATACAAGTGCAAGGAAAACCATAGTGAGGCACCACACCACACTCACAGTATAGCTATTGGAAACGAGACAGAAAACAGAGTCCCGGTAAAGGTGTAGGGAAAGTCACACCCTGCTGATGTTGACACAAAGCAAGGTCTGTGTGAATGCAGCCATCCCTCTCGTAGGTCTAGAGCTTAAAGAAGTAAGAACTTCGTTTCACAGTAGCCTAGAGACAGAGGTACAAGTGTCCACTGTCAGATGAATGAATAAACAAAAGTAGGGTACACCTTCATGGTGGAATAGTATTCAACACGCAAAAGAAAGAAACCCCACAATTTGTTCCCATATGGTTGCAATTACGGGCTTTAGAGTAAAAGCAAATGCAAATGCTGTATGATTGCATTTATATGCACAATCTGAAAAGTTGAAGGGTGTGAGAAAGGAGATGCCAGTCAAAGAACATAATGCTATCACGTATGGGAGGACAAGGTTCTGATTCCCTAGCAAACAACATCACGGTTGTAGGTAACAGCAATGCATCGAACACTAGACACTTAATGAGATTAGATTTTATGTCCTTAGTGTGCATGCACCCACGCACACACACACATCCACACACACACAATGGTAACTATGACTAGTGATTATATTAACCTAACTATGATAATTATACCATATATATATATAATTATAATACGATAAGCTTTAGATATATATAATTTCATGACCCGATTAAATACTTTTAAATTAAATTAAATCATCAAAGACATCAAAGACAGTAAAACTTAGCTGAATGTCCTATATTTTCTTTAAAAATAGTTATTTATTTTATGTGTATGAGAGTTTTCCTAGCATGTATGAAGGTGTATCACATGCCTGCCAGGTGCCCTTGGAGATCAAAAGAGAATATTGAATGCCCTGTACCTTTAACTATAGATGATTGTGCCTTGCCATGTGGATGCTGGGGTCTGAACCTGGGTCCTCTGTAAGAGCATTTTTGCTCTCAACCGCAGAGTCATTGCTTCATCCATCAAATAGCCTCTATTTTATCTAGTAGTCCTAATGTCTTTTGAAGTTTTATTTTCTCTAGTAGATTTTATATCTCAAGAGCCAGCTTCTATCAACCAAATGAAGGCAACCAAATAAAACAGGGGACATGCACAATTAAAGAGTCAATTATTATCTGCTACCAGCATTGTTTTACACAGGAGAAATATATCATCATTCCAGACATAATGGTATTTAAAACAGAACTTAACACATCATTATAATATTCTCAGAAAAGGGTGAACAATTAAATTTTCAATATACAGAAAAACTGGAGCTAAGTTATTTGATGTCAGTGTCTTTCCTTATTTCCTCCTGGATGCCTCTTATCCATTCAACATCATATTCAACTGAAACACTGTAGATGGAACGTCAGTACTCAACTGGTTCTCATAAGTTTCACAGACATCTTTTGAAAGTAGATTTCATGAAGATTGATGATGAAAGATGGAGGCCATATTTCCTTTGACCCAATTCTTGGCATTTTAGGTGTATGAAGAATTTTCTTTTTTCTGTATTAGAGTTCTTTATTTCTTTTTAAAATTGATTTTATTGAGCTATACATTTTTCTCTGCTCCCCTCCCTGCCTTCCCCCTCCCTTTCAACTCTCTCCCATGGTCTTCATGTTCCCAAGTTACTCAGGAGTTGCCTTTTTCTACTTGCCAGGTAGATTAGATCCATGTATGTCTCTCTTAGGGTCCTCATTGCTGTCTAGGTTCTCTGGGATTGTGATTTGTGGACTGGTTTTCTTTGCTTTATTTTTAAAAACCACTTATGAGTGAGTACATGTGATAATTGTCTTTCTGGGTCTGGGTTACCTCACTCAATATGATGTTTTCTAGCTCCATCCATTTTCCTGAAAATTTCAAGATGCCACTATTTTTTTCTGCTGTGTAGAAATTGTGTAAATTTCTCCATTGTGTAAATGCACCACATTTTCCTTATCCATTCTTTGGTTGAGGGGTATTTAGGTTGCTTCCAGGTTCTGGCTATGACAAACAATGCTGCTATGAACATAGTTGAGCACATGTCCTTGTGGTATGATTGAAAATCCTTTGGATATATACCCCAAAGTGGTATTGCCGGGTCTTGAGGAAGGTTGTTTTCTAATTTTCTGAGAAATTTCCATACTGAAATCTAAAGTGGCTTCAAAAGTTTTCACTCCCACCAGCAATGCAGGAGCGTTCCCTTTGCCTCACAACCTCTCTAGCATAAGTTGTTATCAGTATTTTTGATCTTGCCCATTTTTACAGGTGTAAGATGGAATCTCAGAACTGTTTTGCTTTGCATTTCTCTGATGAATAAGGACGTTGAGCATTTCTTTAAGTGTCTTTCAGCCATTTTATATTCCTCTGTTGAGAGTTCTTTGTTTAGGTCTGTATTCCATTTTTTAAAATTGGGTTACTTGTTCTTTTGATGACCAATTTCTTGAGTTCTTTGTAGATTTTGGAGATCAGACCTCTGTCTGATGTAGGATTGGTGAAGATCTTTTCCCATTCTGTAGACTGTCATTTTGTCTTGTTGACCGTGTCCTTTGCTTTACAAAAGCTTTTCAGTTTCAGGAGGTCCCATTTATTAATGTTTCTCTCAATGTCTGTGCTGCTGGAGTTATATTTAGAAAGTGGTATCCTGTGCCAATGCATTCAAGTGTACTTCCTACTTTCTCTTCTATGAGATTCAATGTGGCTGGTTTCATATTGAGGTCTTGTTCCATTTGGACTTGAGTTTTGTGCATGGTGATAGACATGGATCTATTTTCATTCTTCTACATGTTGATATCCAATTATGCCAGCACCATTTGTTAAATATGCTTACTTTTTTCCATTTTATGGTTTTTGCTTCTTTGCCAAAAATCATGTTTGTAGATGTGTGGATTAATATCTGGGTCTTCGATTTGGTTCAATTAGTTCCCCTGTCTATTTTTATACCAATACCATGCTGTTTTCAGTACTGTAGCTCTGCAGTAAAGTTTGAAGTCAGGGATTGTGATGCCTCCAGAATTTGTATGAAGAATTCTTTACAGTTCTAGTTGCCTTTCAAACTGTGACTTGTTGGTGATGGGCAAAGTGGTTCTTCAAGGAATTGCCTGGAAGGACCTGGCTAAATCCATTGTGCTCTGAGACCATTCTTATCTTTTTCTTCTTAGCTGTAGCTCACACTGGTTGATGTATTCCCGTTGGAAACTGATCTAGATAGCTGCAGCAGGCCTAGCATGGCTCTAGTGGGGAAGAGTAGGCTGCATTTCACCAAAGCTTGGCTCATAATTAGCAAAACATTATTTTAAATGCATTGCTTGAAATGTTTTAGGATATTTGTATTATAAACCATATTACTTAAAGAACAAATAACTTTGCTGTTATTAAACCAACTGTGTATTTTTGGGGACCATGTGGGGAATCATTTTCAGGGTATGGAAGAATTTTTCTGCAATCTCAGACATGAGAGAGCTAGAATTTGCAAGGCAGAGAACTATGATGTCATTAGCATTGTAACAATTTGGAAAACTTCTGTGCCAAAAGATGTACTTACTGGAATAACTTGTGGCTATTTAAAAATCCTTCTCATCATGTTTAGAACTTAAAACATCTCTGTAGATTAATAAATTATGTATGGTTTCTTGTCAACATTAACAAACTTTGAAAACTTATTTTGTGTATACTGTGGCTTCCCTATGTTTTGCCAATATTTGCCAAATACGCATAAGACTGTAGCTTATATTTCACAAAAAAAGACGTGTGAACAGACATGCAAAGTTTCATTTGTAAGCAGGAATTTGTGACTCCTTGTTGGGGAATATTATTTTAAGGTGCATTACTTTTATTTATGTTACGTTTGTTTAACTCTGTCAAGCTGTGTTATTATGCCTGACCAAACCATCTGAGAAAT